AACTTTGAATTTCAAGCACCAAACACAAATCGCTTAAATGATAAAAAGAAATCAATTTACAATTTATCAATACGCCCCTGATTAAGAAGATTGAAACATCACTTACCATTGCGTCATATCTTAACAGATTCATGAAGTATGCCGTGACATTGCCCTTGTACAACGTATACCATAAAGTGCCTTGGAACTGGTCTCCGGCGTCCAGCAAAATTACGTTCCCTTCAGAGTTGCGAATTTCTTGAATTTTGGTCCATTGACGCGCGATTCCTCCAAAGCATACTCCCGCTTGAGCTTCGTTGTCCGAGCATCGCTTGCCTCTTCCATCAAACTGCTCGAAACGTGCGTGGACATCGTTGGTGTGTAAAATAGTCAAATTGAACCCGGAACTCAGCGTGAAAAAAATGCTTAAAACGACCAGCTTTTTCATATCTGTTGCTCTATGTGCATGCACTGTCATCAAGTAGTGAGCGAGAGAAGGGCACAGGGTTGAAGCAAAACCTGTGTTGATAATATTCCAGCTGAGGGCAGCATATATAGTCCTGGAGAAGGACACACCCGTCAAATCTGTTTCTTTTGATCTCAAAATGAATTATCTTAAATCTTTAGAAAGTTACGCATCGATCATTTTTTTACTTTTCTGCTACGGTTCAAATGATTGCTATCTCGGATCATATAGGTTCAGATTTTGTCCCCGACAACAACATACAAAGCATACCTGTCAACACTCCAGATCTCTAAATTAGATTTTAAGTTAGATTGAATTATCATCTTTATTATTCATTATTTTTCCCCAATTTTACTATTCTTTCCGCATTTTTGTGCCTGTCTTGCTCCTCTGCACTTAGATTCAAATTCTAATTTTTTTACATTGAAGAAGACACTTCTTGAACAGACTGTAAACACCCCCTTCTCGTCGGGAGTCTCCCGATATATATTTTGTTTTACCTTACGTTTGAAAAAAATTAATAATAAAAATGATAATTCAATCTAACTTCTAATAAGATCGGGAGTGTTGACGGGTATGTTGTGTGTGGTCAAGAACAGAGATGGCGATCATTTAAACCGCCGCAACGGGCCAAAAATAAATGACCGATGTGTATCTTTCTAAATATTAAAAATAATTCATTTTGAGATTAAAAGAAACAGGTTTGGAAAATGTGTCTTTCCCGACCACAGAAACAATTAATTTTGAGATTAAAAGAAACAGGTTTGACAAGTACGTCTTGCGCCAGCACGATACCGAGGCGTATCTTTCCAAATAATGAAAAACAGTATTTTTTTTTTTGTAAATTCCCAAAGCTTTCCGCACCCGATGAACAAAGTAGCTCCTGTTCTGACGTTTGTTCACAGACACGCCATTTACAGCATGCCGTAATACCCACAGTATGTATCGCGGTGCCCACTGCTCGACTGCAGTCAGACAACCGTGCCAAAGTTAGTATTTGCTTTTAAGTTATATTTATGATCAGGATACAAAGATTTTTATTCTGTTATACATTGTACAAGGCATCCGACCCAATATACGATTCCACTATTTTTAAATGTAATGTACTCAGTACATATATGTACACAGAAAAAGTGCATGGACGTCACATACACAACAAGAAAAACACTCCGAGAGCACAGACCTCCGCCAAGGCAAAGTCTCCACCCAATGCCGTTTCATCCCTAAATTTTCATTCTATAATGATTAAGTGTTTTGATTTTTGATTATTGATTGATTATTGATCCGGATCACCACCTAAAACTAATAATCTGTTCCTTGGCCCACTTTTGACAGTTCCTGAAAATTTCATCAAAATCGGTCCTTTACTTAGTTTTTTACTCCATCGAAATTCATCCATAACTTTTTGAGTTATGTTGATGACAAACAGACAGACAAACAAACAAACAAACAAACAAACAGGGGTGAAAACATAACCTCCTTGGCGGAGGTGATAATAATATACATCCGTAATAGCTAGTTCTCTTATCAATGATTATAAGTGATTATATTATGAGCATTTTAATGGTTATTTTCTAAGTCAACACTCTGAATCAAATCTCAGCTCATAGGAAACAAATCTCTTCTGTCTCTGCAAATGCGCTGGTTAAAATGTTGTCAGTGAGAAGATGCCATCCGTACTAATGTCAAACATGATCAAAGCAGAAAAGCGTTTATTTTTACTCTGCTTTGTTCTTCTTGTTAAGAAGTATCTCCCCTCAAATCGCTATACAACATATTTACATCTTCTACAACAATCTTCAACAATTTGGGCAAAATCTTTGGTCTTTGTTTAAATTAATGTGGCGTCCTTTCTCTGTCATGAGACCTTTTCTCGAAAAACGGAAATTTAAAGTACGTTTCTTCATATAAGTCAACTGTAAGACAAACATCTCTTAACTCGTCCACAATCCAGACATATCCCCTTCTCTCAGTCACATAATTAGTTTCTTAGATTTATTGATTGAGGGTAGTGATTGCAGTAAGCAATAAGGAGAAAACGCTAAAGACAAAACAGCATCCGGTCTTTGTGCGAATACAAATGTACGTTGGTGTCAGAGGGACAAAGTTGCACCGAAAGCAACCGAGATAGCGATCATTATACCTCCGCAACGGATCAAAAATAATGACAGAGCCAAGGAATAATAAGCAGTTATTGTATTGTTTTGTTTGTTCACAGGCAGACCATTTACAGCATGTCGTAATACCCAGTGCCCACCGCTGCACCGCAGTCAGACAACCATGTCAAAGTTAATATTAGCTTTCAAGTTATATCGCATTTCCATTATTATTCATTATACTGTAGAAATTCTAATTCTCGTTCACGAGCACTACGTTATTTATTGTTATGCAAAGCCAAGCTATAGAGAGAGAAACTTCCCTTATCGTAATTTTAACGGCATTCTGCAGAATGCCTAGCGTATCTATATCGTTTACGTAACGTATGGATAACGTACGATTCAAACACTCGTACACGCTGAAAGATTTTGAACATTCTCCAAAAATCTTATCTTCTTCGGCGTATGTGAACGTACACCAACGTTTACCTGCACAGTTGAAACGTATGCGACGTAAGTCTAACGAGGCCCTTGTGTTTGTCTGCGTATGAGTAAATTTCCTCATACATTGGTGAAACACGCTTAGTGTGACAGGGCCCTGTAATATTATTTCTCATACGATGGAAAGGGATGTTTTTTTTACGCGCAAAGTTGTACGTATTATGAATTTCACATACGATACTCACACGAATCTCTTTTACTCTTGATGTGACAGGACTTTTATACGATCAAAGTTATGCTTACAATCGATTTGGCATACGATACGGAATTTCCGTCTCCAGTTCTCTCATCTGTTACGCAGTACCAGTATATACTGTATACTAACAAAGAACAGATTTCCTGTAAAAGCAATGTTCCACAGACTCGCAACTCTCAGGTAAACAATCGATGAAAGCAGAACTTTTTACTGTAAAAACAGCGTTCATGCTCTTAGTTATGTACATAATATGTCGCTTTCCATCGTTAACACTAGGAATAATTAGACCAGACATGAGTTACTTGGCCTACTTGGATCTTGCATCAATTTTCTTCGATTTTCATTTTGTTTGAACCCGTTTCTTTATGCTTGGGGATCTCACAGATACAGAAAAATAATCAGAAATGAACGTCAAGACCGTTTCTGTGGCTGTTCTTTTTGTTTCTTATATCGAAGTACTTTACAAGAAAATAACAGCTCGAGATTTAACTAGAGATTTAGATATAAAGGAATGGAGTTCCACTATTTAGTTCAGAAAAGAGAGGTGCCAAGGGACGAGGGTATGTAAAGATGGCAAAGTCATTGAATATTATGTTGAAAGACCGTGCCATGATTTCGTTGAAGTTATCAATCCTGATTCGTGTACAATATTGATCTAGACCATGTCCAATTTTATGAAAATGATACAGTCATAATTAATCAAACAGAATGGGATATAACAATATATAACTGATCATATTGGACCCACAAAGTAATAAGCCATGGATGAAAATTATAACGATAACACGGTGAATGTGGAAGGACACTACATTGTATATTATTATTAGTGTTCATCAATCAAAAGAATCGAGTAAACTGAAGAACATGTATGGCATCAGATAGGAATGCATTAAAATCTATCAGTAAATTAAAATGCTGCCGGGCCACTGCCCACAAAAGAAAAATAGTGACTTGATATTGGATATGTTATATTGTATATGTTAGTACTCTTTACAGAAAAATCTGATTAAATGTTATCAAAGTGAAAAAAAGATTAATTATTGGACAGAACACTTGATTAAAAAGTCTATGAAGTTATAAGCTTTCAAGTCAAACCCTTCGATGCTTCGAGTATGTGACAAAGGAAGCTCGCTCGATGCACTTTTACACCATTGTGGGTCTTTGTCACGCTATTGCTATTTTAAAGCACGTAAGACCAAACACGTAAAAATAAAATTGGTCCATTATACAGTGTACAATGATCCAATTCGCGTACTTACGTACACTTGTTTACAATGATTAAATGTTTATCTTAATTAAAATAAAAGACAAATGTTTGAAAACATTAAATATCACATAAAGGAAACAATATAGAGGGCTACCCACGTATCTAAAGCTTAAATTAATTTTAAAAATATTGATAAATTCTATCTTGCTTTAAATAGTATTGGGGTAAGAATTGACTAAATATACATCTTTTAAGACACACAGATCTTTAGAACTCCAGAAAGTCGGTACTCGCTTCAGTGAAATGTATATTACAACAATCGACCTCAAATCATCTAAACTACTCCAAGTGAGAAATCTGTAAGACTAAGATTGGACTTAAAAGAATTACACAATGCAGCAGTAATCATGGTACCTGTGGCCTGTTTAACAGCCAAGCCAAGCCCAATAATTCTTAGCAGTAAACTGTCAAGATTCATAACAATGCCAAAAGGCAAGACACCATCTAGCCAAGAAAACTTTGAAGGAAAGTTCCTATAATGCCAAATGGCGGTGCTTACGGTGCTGGCGGTGTTGGTACATTTACAGGTCTCCTCGGCGGTGTTTTCTTAAAATTGCACCTGATGTCGCTGACATAGCGAATTCTACCTTCTAACCCGTGAATTATCGGTGAGTACTGTGTGATGTAGGACATCACAACATCTGCATCCAAGTCCTCTGAAAAAGTCAGTAATTTGTTATTTAAGACAAGCACCTTACGTGAGTCTAAAATGACACTTAGGGATATTGTCACCCTTCGCCCAAAACTCTTTATATTTACTGCCTTACATACATTCTTTTGGATAATAATTAAATCTTCAGTGTTCAGTGACTAAATTGATTAACATTTATACATATGTCATCTTACGGGTGACGCCATAATTACGATTTTGGGGTAAAAACTGAAAAATCGGTTTCTCAAATTTCTCTTTTACATGAGCAACCACGATCACCGTTTCAACGCCTATTCAATAACACCATTAAGTACTAGATTTTTCTTAAAGTTATAGTTCAGGTTTTATCGTTAATAAAGCAAAATAGTACCCTTGTTTAATGAAAATCTGTAATTGGGAATTCTTAATTCCATAGCGAAAACATGAAAACCAAAATATCAGCATGAGATTGTAGCCTATACACTCCTGGTCAACTCTGCCAATTTTCGTGATAAAATCGATGAAGTTACATCCCATACAATTTGCTATCTCACCTCAAAAATAAAGGTGTTAAATTGACGATTAAAGATTTGAGTTGCCCCCCATGCTTATACATTGCAACGAAAAAGCTTATATTTTCGAGGGGGTTTTCATTGTTTTAAATAAGCATAAAGATAGATGCATTATTGAATAATTAGATGCAGGATAAAACTAATATTTGGCATTTAGATGATAATAAAGGGTTAATAAATCCTTTAATAAATGACTTCTGAAACGTATACAATACATTATTCATAATCATAGCAATTTATGTTTTCTTGTGTGACCAAGCATGGAAAGCACACTTCACTTAAAATCACTCAAAACCAAAAAACAACAATACCTATCCCATATCGGTACAAAATGTTGTCCTTGAAAATAGAAAAACCATCCCCTCCCTCTAGTAAATAGGTGTTGGTGACCACATCGTATGATTTTGTCTTAACGAGGGGCTGGAACTCGGGGACTGTACAGTCAGCGCACCTGACGTCAATGCTGACCACTCGCCTGCCTACTGGCTTAGACAGGTCATACACAACCCGAAGACCTGGGTATAGGAAAACAGAATATAAAAATAAAACAAACAAACAAAGAACACAATAATACAAAGGACTGCTATGTTTTGAATTATAGAAATTTTCAAAATTCTCGGCAACTTATTGTTACTATATCATAAATTCCTTATATTGATTTAATTATGCATTTAAATATGGTTATTAATTTAAGTAAGGGTAATGTTTAGCTTTCTAAATAGAAACTAAATGAAAACGATTATATTTAACTGAGATGGAACAATTACCCGAGACTTGCAGGAAGCGACCCGTATTACTCTCTTGTAAGGAAACGGAATGTTCCATGACTGCCCACAAGGTACTACCGTTAATTTTGACAATGTCAACCGTATTTTCGAACGGGATAGTTCTCAGGACGTTTGACACTAATATGTCACCTGAAATAAGAATAGAAATGTTCATCCTAAAGAAACATGGTTGCAGCGGATATTTCAGCCAGGTACCCCAGTATCACGAACAGTTCCTAAACCGTACTCTAATAGAAAAATTGACGTTTCAGTATTGCTTTAGGAAAAAAAAAACGCATAAAGGTGCTCTTCAACCCAACCCACAGGTTTTCAGGATTTACAAACGACAAAGAAAAAGTAAAAGTGTAATGGCAAAAAGTACTAAGACGTCTACCAGTATCTATAAGATAAAGGTGCATGTTTGCGGTTACCTATTTCAATTGGCTCACGTATCCCGCCGCTATTCCACATTCCAATAGAGGCATTGGTCCACCTTGTTCCGTCATTGGGTTTCAGATACTTGTACACCAATGCATCTGCTATGAGGTTCCCTTTAAAATGACGAGTATTTTTATCATCATAGTTACACAGTGGCAAATAACTAAAATTTTCAAAGGCATTAAACACAAGAGTTAAGGTACAAAAGATTTGGGATAAATTTGGTCCAGGTGTTTCTATTCGGGTGTAAAAAGCACGTTTACGACAATGTGGCAAGATTTACAAATTATCTGGCACTTCACCATACACCATACATGAAAGAACATTATCCCTGCCCTATCGCTCTGTATAACGGAATCAGGTATTAATGCCTTTGAATTATTAGAAACTCTCTGCAAGACCATCGGAAACAAAGACAACATGAATGTCGATCTCCACACAACTCAGTGCACATTACTCATTTATAGATCCCTCAAAACTGAAAGCTACTTAGGAGAGGTCATGAAAAAAGAAGAGAGAACAAAACGCTACCTACCTAAACTACACTCATTTCTACGACAAGAAATAACATCGTTTAACTCGACCAAAGTGGTTCCGATCTTTGTTTGACCTAAATCGACCACACGTTGTTTCCATGGTTGCATCTCAGTTAATATTCCACTGTCTGAAACAGGAATTTACAGAAACAGTGCCAACAAAATGCACAATTTGAAGCAATCGAGTGATTTTAAAAAAGGTCAGTTTATGAACTTATTATGGCAAAATGGTCATTGAAGTCACGAAATTTGAGGGTAAATGTGAATGAAAGGCATTCTTATTCTTACAAAAATCATTCAAAATTAAAATAATTGAGAGATTATTAATCTGTTGTGAAAATAAACACGAAAGCTATTATTATTAGAAATCTTCGATTGTTCTCATTTTAAATTATTTTATTTGACATCAATTTATGAATTAATGATGACAGAATACTCATTCCAGACAAGAAGTTTGATGGTAAGTGTTGATTTAAGGCGTTTTCATATTCAAAATGAAAAAGATAAAAGGATTAACTACTCGGTAAACTATGGTGAAAAACATACAACTACATTCATTCTATTATTATGAGAAAACTTCGATTGTTCTCATTTTAAGCACTACAATGTTAAACAATGATAACTTTACCTTGTGTAACATTTTCATCCAATAAGATTGGATTACCACCCCATGACGTCAGTTCACCTGCTTCGTCAAAAGTTACTTGTAGGTAACCTAGATATTTGGCAAACATGAAATCTGTGACTATCAGCACATTGCTTCCTCTTCTTCTCAACACAGTAGGATACACACCATCGGGTTGCTCCGTCGACGGAGGAGTGCCTGGAAATATTATTGGGTCTTTAAATTGTTATACTGCAAATATTGCAATGGCGGCAGAGAGAGAGAATACAATTCTTAAAAAAAGTACCTTTAACATTTAGTATTCATTTAATGAGTAATTATTCTTAACATATCAAAGAAAACTCTACATTTGCATTGAGCTCATCATTATATCTATAACACCCTGTTACAGGTTGTCTGACAATAATATGTCATCTGGTCTTATATCTAAGGCTTCACTTGCAAGACAATTAAAAGGTCTACTGGTATGGATAAAGAAACGTGTTAGTCTGGCCACCAATATTTAGTTCTGAAGGTATCAAAGTTATGGAGATAATTCTATTATTCAACCTTTGACATGCGTTCAACATTATACCAATTACCCCCTAATAGAGGTTGTATAGCTATAATATGCCATCTTCTCTTTTATTAAAAAATTCACTGTCAATTAAATGAAAACTGTTACCAATATAGGCATTTTACCGGTATAAAGAAACGTGTTCGTCCGGCCACCAATAACAATGTCCACCCCATCAACTTCTTCAGCAATCTTTCTATCGACAGGAAAGCCGGAATGACCCAGTGCAATAATTTTATTAATGCCCTGTAATTTCAGTTTATTAACCTCTTCCTGTACTGCAGCCACTTCTTCGGTGAAAATTAAAGCGCCTGAAAAAAAAATGATAACTAAACTTGTGTGTGACCCTAAACATGTATTTATCAAAAGTGTAGCATGTACATGTATGCACCATCACAATAATAATAGTAATAACAATCTGACGATCACAATATTAAAATTAATTGACTTAATACAGTCTGAAAAAAGTGGTTTCAGAACATGCCTTTTTACAAATATGTATAATATGATACGGACATTGTTTCTAGAAGATCAAAAATTAATCTAACCTGGGTTTGAAACTAGAGGCGTGTATCTGAACACGTAACCCACAATTCCTATCTGTTCCCCATTCACATTCAGCACCATGGACTTTTGATACATCCCTTGCATTTCTGGGACGTTTTGGGCGTCGATGTTAGCACTCAAAACGGGGAAAGTGACGTTTCGAAGAAAATGCAATAAACTGTCTATGCCGCTGACAAACTCGTGATTACCGAAAGCCTAAAATGTTGAATTATTGAGATTAAACAGAATGTATTGGGGATTTTAAAAGCTTTCGCTAAGGAATGGGGTGGAGTGCAGAAGGAAGATCTTTATGCCTCGCCGCGTTCGCCAATTGAATTTTGAGAGTGCGAGTGCAATTATTTGAAGATCATTTTGCACGTGATCCCTGTGCTATGGTCCATCGGCGAGAATTGTATAGTGAAATAATACCTTGTAGGATATACATGTACAGAGATTTATGGAGATTAAAAAATCTCACTTCACTCTGTCTTGGTTTAATTATTATTCCTATTTGGGGGGAGGGAGGATAGGGGGCTTGCCAGCTTACGCCACTTTTGCCGAGCCAGCTAGCTTGGATGTAAGTGTAAGGTTTAGAAGAGCCTGTGCCTACGAAAGGCTCAATGAATAGCCAAATCAATGCATTAAAATGAATGTTTCGATCATGTAATCTATAAATATATAAAAATTCCATAAAATGCACAAATGCGTTTTTCTGTAAAACGAAATGATATGTTCCATTACTAACAAGCAATCAACATTCTTATTCGGTATATATCATGGTGCAGTACCTTTACTTGTCAAGCGTTCTTGATAAGTAAATTGCGCCAGAAGGGGTTGGCAAAATGTCTCAGAAATCAATATGAATCATTATGCAACTTTGAAGTGACAAACACAGATCACTTAAAGCCAAGATTTTACAATTTATCAATACGCCGCTGAGTAAGAAGATTAAAAATTGAAAAATTACTTACCATTGCGTCAAATTGAAACAAATTCATGAAGTATGCTGTAACATTGCCCTTGTACAACGTATACCATAAAGTGCCTTGGAACTGGTCTCCGGCGTCCAGCAAAATTACGTTCTGCTCAGAGTTGCGAATTTCTTGAATTTTGGTCCATTGACGCGCGATTCCTCCAAAGCATACTCCCGCTTGAGCTTCGTTGTCCGAGCATCGCTTGCCTCTTCCATCAAACTGCTCGAAACGTGCGTGGACATCGTTGGTGTGTAAAATCGTCAAATCAAAACCAGAACTCAGCGTGAAAAAAATGCTTAAAACGATCAGCTTTTTCATATCTAATGCTTTATGTAAAACTTTGGCTTTGGTGATTCCAAACCTTCAACTAGTACATGCACTGTCACCAAGTAGTGAGCGAGAGAAGGGCACAAGGTTGAAGCAAAACCTGTGATGATAATATTCCAGCTGAGGGCAGCATATATAGTGCTGGGGAAGGACACACCCGTCAAACCTGTTTCTTTTATTCTCAAAATGAATGGTTTTTTATCTTTGAAAAAAATCCGCATCGGTCATTATCTTTTCACCCGTTTCACCTATAGTCCTGGGGAAGGACGTACCGGTCAAATCTATTTCTTTTATTCTCATAATAAATTGTTTTTATCTATGAATTGATGCGCATCGGTCATTATCTTTTAACCCGTTTAATTTATAGTGCTAGGGAAGCACAAACCTGTCAAACCTGTTTCTTTTGTTCTCAAAATGAGTTGTTTTTAAATCTTTCGAAAAATACGCATTAATCATTATTTTTTAACCCCCTGCTCCGGTTTAAATGACTGGTATCTGGGTTTCTTTTGGGACAAGCTTTGTACCCGACAACAAAATACACAGCATGCCTGTCAACACTACTGATCTCGATATTAGACTTTAAGTTGGATATTATCATTATCATATAATAATATCATATCATACATAATTTTCTTCAATTTTACTATTCTTTTCGCATTCTGTGTCTGCTTCGACCCTCTGCGCTGAGATTCAAATTCTAATTTTACTTAAAGGTTCAAAGACTGAAGAAAACACTTCTTGGACATATACCTATCAACACTCCTTATCTCGTCGGGAGTTTTATCCCACATTAGACCGCTCGAAAACTTCATTCGCGACAATATGCAGACATATTATTGTTTTCTCATATCTATTGATCGAGGGTAGTGATTGCAGTAAACAATAAGGAAAAATTACCAAAGACAAAACTATTTTCTTTGTGCGAATACTGTCTTAAACTTTGTGTATGTTGTTGTCAGAGAGAATCATTTAAACCGCCGAAATGGGTTTAAAAAATCACCTATGTGTATCTTTCCAAAGATCAAAAACAATTCATTTTGAAATTTGAAGAAACAGGTTTGACAGGTATGTCCTTCCTCAGCATCCCTTAACTCGTCCGAAATCCAGGCAAAGGTCTTTCACTCAGTCACATAATTATAGTGTCTCAGTTCGGGATTGAGGGTAGTAAGTACAGTAAACAATAAAAAGAAAAAAAAACGGCGTCGGGCCTTTGTGCGTATACTGTCCTTGGCAATGTGTATATTGTTGTGAGAGGAGGGCAAAGCTTGTCCCGAAAGGCACCTTGAGATAGCTATCATTTAACCCGCCGCAACGGGTTAAAAAATAATACCAGGGACGTAAAGGCCGGGGCCAAGGAATGATGGGCTAAAGAATAATATACAGTTATTTTGTAAGTTTTCAAAGCTTTCCACACCCGATAAACAAACTAGCTCTTTCTCTGACGTATGTTCACAAACAGACCATATACAGCATGCTGTAATGCCTGTGTATCGCAGTGACCCCCGCTCCACTGTGTCCAAGTTAATATTCTATTTTAGGTGATATTGTATTTTCATTATTATTCATTATCTTTTTTTTTAAAATTTTACTATTCTGTTCGCATTTTATGTCTGTCCCCTCCGCACTGCAGAAATGCTAATTCTATACAACGGTTCAACGATAGAAAAATACATACATTGTACGCAAACATATAATACACAGACAAACGCAAGGTTTCAGAAGTGCGTTGGTAAACGTATGAGTCATAAGTTGCTCAAACCCTAGATATACGGTAAGAATATACGGCCAATAAGCTGGTAGGACAACGCTTATAAATGCTAGAAGGCATTTTACAGTAGGGCCACGTAACGTTTCTCATAAAACTTTGATGACACACGCAGTATGCTGGGAAAACACTTACACCAAGAAAGAAAAAGAGCTGAGGAGCAGGTTCGGCACCAAGATAAGCAGATATAATACTTAACATAAGGTTTTAATGTATGACAAATTTATTTAAAAAAGAAAGAAACAATAATCATGAAAGTATGAAATTTTGACGAGAATCCATTAAAACGAATAGCATGAATTTATCTGATTCTTTTTTATTCGCCCATATGATCTCTTTACACGATAAACCTAATTTCTTCATAGTGTTTATTTAAAGACGAGGATGGATGCATGTCACAGCGGCAAGAAATGGGGTCTGTTTATTTCTTATTTTTTAATCGCCATCATCAAAGTAAAGAAAAGATCCCGGACTACCCTATGATTCTTGATAAGTGTCCAAGAACAGCGTGAACGTTGGAACTGCTGCGAATGCCCGGTTGGTGCTACAAGGTTCCACTGAACCACTGACAAATTAAATTTGGGCCTCCGCACCATGATACGCAGGAGAGTACTTTTTGATGCAGTCTATTAAGACATCGGAATTCAAATCACCTGAAAATATACATGCCTATAAAAAAGTGCCAAGCTTATACTGAGTCAACCATATATTGTGCCAAGCTCATTGCATTTGGAAACCTTTGAAAAAAAGAGTTATTTTAGTGACGATGGTAATATGTTATGCTAAAATTAGGTACAAGAGCGAGAGATTCTGGCTCAGTTAAAAACACACGAGAGAAAAAATTGTGGAAGAACGTAAGAAAGGCTTAGATAAGACGCAATTGCGATGTGCTCTGAGCAAGTCGCACGGACTAAACTGTAACAGAAGGGGTTCTGGTACATCGCGCGCAAAACGGGAGAGAAATCTCCAAGATACCAGGGAGAGAAATCCAATAAACCCTATGCTATTTTAAACGCTTTTTCGTTTTCAACGTAACTGTTAATCTAAAGATTTAATTAATTTTTTAAAAAATTCAAAGATATATCAGAATATTCAGAATTCTAAAAACTGGGATCATTTTGGCGTTTTAGTTCCACACCTGTACATACAGTATGCTGTTCCTTAACATCGAATAAAATCTTATCCATCAATGATTTGATGGATGGCTGACATTAAATAATCTAGATATAAGACTGTTTATATATTATATTATATTATATTATATTATATTATATTATATTATATTATATTATATTATCAAATTACGTTACAATACGGTTACATGATCCACATCTTTGATTTTAAAGTACTCTTAAGAGAAAAATAGTCGAATGTTATTAAAGTGAAAAAGTGCAGAAACCCTTGTAGATTCTCTAAAAATGGATAAATTACTGGATAGAAAACTTGATTAACAAGTCTAAGACGTTAAAGTGTTTGAAGTGAAACCCTTCGATGCTTCGAGTATGTGATAAAAGAAGCTCGCTTGATTCAATTGTACACCACGCGTGTCTTTGTCACGCTATTTAATACGTAAGACCAAACTTGTACAAATAGATTGGTCCAGAAACAAATTCAGCAGATTTCACCATATTTGTAAACAATAGTGACATCCTCCCAAGTCGCGTGTATATATACAGTGATGTTTCCAATGACTTAATGTTAATCTTAATGGAAGATAAAGGTTTGAAAATATTAGTTATATTAATCACATGCAGGAATATCAATAACATTTATTTCATACAGGAATAATATGAATCACATACAAGAAACATTCGTTCAAACATCAAATTCAGGTAAACCTTTTGGTAATTCTCTTAGTTATACTACTTGAAACTATATGCTGGCATTTGGTTGGCTTTTGTGGCAAAACAATTGACTTTATATGCATCTTTAAGTTCATCTGAATGGCTTTAAGTGGTAAACCTGTAGGATCAAGCTTGAACTGTGGGCTGTTTAACGACTTAGTCAATTCCAGTAATTCTTACAAGGTTTCTTAACACTGCCAAAAGGCAAAACACCACGTAGCCATGAAAATAATGTTAAAGTGTTTCAAGAGAAACCCTCCGATGCCTAGAGTATGTGACAAAGGAAGCTCACTCGCTGCAATTGTACCCCACATGTGTTTTGTCACACTTTTAACACGTAAGACCAAACACTTAAAAGTAGATTGGTCCAGAAATTAATTCAGCAGATTTTACAATTTTTGTAAACAACGATGACATCCTCTAATTCGCGTGCATATATACATCGATGGTTCCTTATTTAAAATCATCATCATCAAAGAAGAGAAAAGACTCTAATCTGCTAAGTAATTCTTGACATGACGTGTCCATTCTTCGTGTTTTTCTGATTTTTTTTAAGGCTTGGCGACTTCAATGTTGTAAGCGCAAAGTTGTGACGGATGTGAAATTTTAACAATTCCCCATAAAGAACAAAGCAAACAAAATCAACGTGAACGTCGGAACGGCTGCGTATGCCTGGTTGGTGCTACAAGGCTGGACTGAACCAGTGACGAATTTAATTCGGTCCTCCACACCATGGTAAACCGGAGAGTACTTTTTGATGTAGTCCATTAAGACATCGGCATCCAAAGTATCTGAAATATACATGCATTTTACTCTCTGACCACAAGGTGCACTAGCAGCCTGTTACAAAATTGTTGAAAAGCAACGTGATTTTGGAGAGTATTTTACGGGACCCTCATATCAGAGGCTACATGCATTTAAAGTGTCAAGCTAGTTACACGACTGCATTTTCAAAACTTTGTAAGTTTGTAAAGTGCTCTTTTAGCAACGGTAACTGGCCAGATAAAAAAAGAAACAGGAAAGCAAAAGGAGGCACTACGTAGGAGTAACTCTTTGGCAATAAAACAGGGCTCAGATGTAATGCGATGCGGTGTGATTGCAGTCTGCTCTGTGCAAATCAGGTGGGCTCCACTGTAACAACGGGGGTTTTCCTCAAGTAACGGCATCTCGTGTGGAACAGGGAGAGAAATCAAATGAACCTCTTACAACAATTTTCTCGTTTAAGCAACATTAACGTTTACATTAAGAATGAATTATTTGTCTTTAAAATAACCAAAGAGTTAACACAATAATCAGAAGACTATAA